TATGTACATTTATAAGATAAATAATAATTTCCATGTACAATGTACGATGGTACCTGGATAACAGTATACCTTACTATATGTATGGGACCATAGCCCTATAAGCAGATTGCACATTTATGCAACACCAATTATTAAACTTTACTCAAAAAATATAAGTACACTTTGAAGTGTTATAACTAGACACTCAAAATCAGTGTTCAACTATTAATACTTTTTATGTACACAAAATCACTAGAATATTACTATAAACACCTAAAAAATACATCCTACACGGATTTTATCAATATGTTGCCTGTATCCTGTATATATATATATTATGTTCGTATAAAGGTAGGCAAGCAGTGTATGGCTCTGATGTGTTTAAATTTAAATTCAATGATTTATTACCTCAGTGGCGCATTGATTTGATGGTGGTCCATGTGGTATGGCACTTAAATTAGATATCTCAAATCACTCATCAAATATTTTWAAAAAAAAGGTATTCTTGGCCTTTTTTTGTGTTAATCTAGATCCAGCGATGACCGCTTTAGCATATTACTTCTCCTTTGGCTCGCGTCGCATCGTTTATTGTAATAAATTAAATTTATATAACTATAGCATAGGTACCTACATCACGTTAGGCCTCCGTGACTTCATCTTCATAATAGCGAATGCCAGTATATACACAGTATGTCAGGGTGCCAAGCTCGGGGCCCAGAGGCTTACAATCAAGTTATTATACATAAAAAAAAATACTAGTTTACTACAACGGTTTAACATAAGCAACGGCTATAGATTCTCTGCCGCCCAGACTTCCCGAGTTCCCGACCCGACTGGGCTAGTCTAGGGGTTTCAAGATGGAGTGTCAATCGTCTTCGGTAAAACTATAATAATTCTAACTATTCTCCAGCAGTAGTATGATTAATCGTAAAATAATTTAAATAATTAATAGCAATGATATCATGCGAATACATTTTGTATTAGATAATTATTAATTTTTAAAGCTGACAGACAGTAAATTATAATAAATATGTACTTAAAATAAATAATATTAAGCTATTTATGCAATATTGTTTAAATCAATTATTAAACACATATTTATCTATTATTATACTCTTATATTATATATAATTAATATATAACATTAAAAAAAAATTCTATGAAAACGTTTTAAGAAAATATTTTAAATAATATTATTTTAAATTATTCTTATAACATTTTTAAAATTAGCATTTTTCATTTTTTATTGAACTTGTAAAATTAAAGACATGTAAATCTTAAAAGAACATATTTAAAGTAATGATGATTCAACTTTGTAATAGCATATTTTTAAAATATTCTAACTAAATTTTATTTAAAATGATAATATTAAAACCCGAAAATAACATTTTGGGAATATTATAAGTTAAATGTTATATTTAATATATTCCTAAAACGGAAGCAGAACATTAAATTTTCGATATTCTGAATAGAACCTAGTTTTAAAGTTCAAATAATGTTAAAGTTGAGAAATTGCTGTCTGGGATATTTCACTATATATTGGTATTTATAGTATTAAAAATATTTTTAACCATGAGTTCACCGATAATTGTTTGTAAGTCTACTTTTGACATCCGTGCGTTTAGCAAGAAAAATATTACAGTTGGGTTATTAGTTAATAATCAGATTTCAATTATTTTGCTATTGGAATGTAAACTTTCAAAGAAAATTATTACATTAAGTTTAGAAGAATGGTTTACACTAATGTCTGAATCTAATTACAATTAAATTATTAATAATTTACATACCAGATGYAGACGGGTAAAAATAACTGATAACTTTTCATATTCAATCAATGCTAA